ACTGATTGATTTGATTTTACGGTTTATCAACTTTTGCCAGGTTATTTTGAGTTAGAAAATATTTTTCGATTGTATTAATTTAAAATGAACAGGCCAACATGTAAATTACGAGCTGTAGATACCGAAATAAAACAGTTTCAGCAATTTAAATATCAAGGAAACATTTTAGCCAAGAACGGAAAGTCTAACACGGAAATCCATAGCACACTGGAACAGCGAAAATGCTTTTCAAAACCTAAGCAAGGTATTGAGAAACAGTAAAATATCGTTAGAAAAAAGAAAGAAAGGGTAGTGAACTGTTCAGTAATGTCAATTCTTCTATATGGCAGTGAATGTTGAACAATCGTATCAGAGATGAAAAAGTAACACAAATATGGGTCTACAGAAGGATGCTGAGAATAGCATTCACCAAAGGCAACAAGAAGGACACTTTAACTTAACACCGGAAAGAGACAGTTGAAATTTCTACAGTACATAATGAGGGCTTAAAATATTTGATATTCACATGACAGATTGAAGGTGAAAGAGACAGAGGAAAACAAGACATCAGCTACCTGACGAGCCTGGGTGGAGAAATGGCGGAACAGGATATAGGAGAGAACAAAAAGAGAAAATTTATTAAGAGCTACAAAGGACAGGAAGTTGTGGTGAGCCGTAGCCGCGAACCGGCGTGTGTGTGCCGGCTAACATGGGCTCTGGTGAAAATCCAAGGAGCGTCTGCATCGGTAACCGGCGGCTTCTGGTCGTTCCTGTCTCTGCGTCTGTGGGAACCCCGCGGCAAGCAAGAACGTTATCCGAGTAGGCCTGGGTACCCTACTTCTGTAATTTATCCCAAGAATCTTCTTCTCATAATAGGAAGAAGCCGGCTCAATCCGCCCAGGGTGAATGCCGCATCAGTACAGTACAGTAGTAGCCGCGAACGTCATGTTAAGACGTGGTAGATGGAAAAAGATACACGTCCTATGAATTAATCTATAGCTGAGGGTAGATGTTTATTCAAATCTTTACTTAGGGTATTTGCGCGTAAGTGAATATAACGAAAATGACTGGAACTGAAACCCGGCTCTCTGATTTACAATTTCGTGACGTTATTCAGTACACCACCCGCACATTCAAGCTTAGAGCACCGGGTATTCCCAAATATAGATGTAGAAGAGATGAAACCATGCCTTTCCCAAGAGGATTTGTACAAGGCAGAATGCAACAGTGGTCCATTCCTCCCGATGAATGGCAAAGGAAAAGATATGGGTATGTCCTACATCCAAGAAAGGATTTACATAAGCTGGTTAAGAAGAAGATTAACGTAATCAATGAGCTAGGAATTTGAAAAGAAAAAATAATTCTCTCTTTATGATCAGAAGGCGATCAGCTTGGGTAATGCAAATACAGCCATACGTATTCTTGACTTTTATCGATTATACAAAATGATTTTATAAGGTACGACACAATGCCATTTTTTCACCTCAAGCAACGCCGGAATGCCACCAGAACGCAAAGAGTTACAGAGAGTGTGTTCAAGAGTAAAAAGACATGACTGAGGAAAGGATAAAGAGAAGAACGCAGAATTAGATCAAGGCATCAGAAAATGTCGATTGACATTACATTTGAATATTTGAAGACTATGACTGTCAGAGAAGTAAGAAAGAGTAAGGGAGTTCAACAGAGGGGAAGTGCGAGACATGAAGCTGTTGGAGTAGAAGAGACAGTTATATTTAACCGTTTCGACAGTGAAAGGGTGGGATAAAGATGTCAACATTGTAACATGCTTAAATTCATGAAGTTTGGGAACTAGCGAAAATAGCTCGTCAGAGCACTTACCGTGAAAGTACTTGTAGAAAAGACAGAGGGAAGCGACGGCACGTCTGTGAGAAAATGACTGTAGATGATATACCAGACCAGCACCAACCACACTGCATATCCGTCTCTGGGTTTTGTCGAGGAGCTTGAGACGATCAGCGAAGGTTCCAGACCATATATGGCAGCAGTATTCAATGCAAGGGCGAATGGTTGATTTATAAATCTGTAGGATGGACTCGGGAGAGACAAACTTTCTGGCGCGACAGAGAGAACCGTCTTTTCTTACGGTAGATGAAGCTATTGATTCAATGTTTTTATTACTTTTAATACTAGATAAGCCTGGTTTATATGTGGAAAATATTTGAGTACAGATATCCCTCGATTAATGCGCATTCGGTTAATGCGTTTTCGATTAGTGCGCTACTTTTTTATATACCAATTATACTATTAGTGAATAAAAAAATACGTGATTTAGTGCGATAAAACACTTTTCACCTTAACCATAGTAGTTGAAACCTGATTAATAAAAATTTTAAAAATGGAAAATGGTTAACTATTTTGTTCGACAAGTATTACAATATCTAAGTAATTGCACAAGTGTTAAAAATACAGTTATAAATAGATAAATTTTATAATATAAACAGAAAATAAAGATACATATTTGTCATATTTTTTTTAATATTTTCATTTTTTTTTCATGTTTATTTTGAAGATATCAAAAGGAAGTTTCTGAAATTTTTTATTAAAAAATAAACGATTTAATTAAATACAGAAATTTACATTTACAAATATCGAAATATAAAAGATGTATGTATTTACGATGGAATGATTATAAATAAAAATTTCAGCTTAAAATACAACTGATCATATATCTGGAAAATTTGAAGGGGCAGTTCCTCGGTACCGCCATTTCTATGAAGAATAAAAGAATACTACGTGGAAAAACAATGTAAATAAGTTGTTCATAAAAAAATCAGATTAATAAAGATTAATTCATAGCATTTTTATTGTAGCTCTTTATATGTGCCTATATGTTAATTAAAAACTACGAAAATTATGAATGAGAATAAAATTACAGGTACAAATTACACAAATGCCTATAAGACATTAAATTCTATTAATGCATTTTCGATTAGTGCGTATCACTTAATACACGAATTAGCTTCACTAATCGAGGGAATCTTGATTATGCATAATCTCCACAAGAAACTATACGTTTGCAGATAGTAAACGAATTAAGTGAATTCGAAAAATAGTAATAAGAGTATAACATGAATGCGTTTTCTCATCTGATTAATCAAAAAAATAACTAAAATATACAGAATTCATTATCGTCGAATATAGTCTCTATTTTGTTGTGGTGTCCTCCTTCTAAAGACTCTATGTTGGATTCTTCCGCCTACTATAAGATTAGTAGGAGAGAAGACCTTGATGGAACAGTGTTCTAAACTGTTCAAGTGTCAAACTTCTTCTTGTTCTTGTTCTTGTAACGGCATTCACCCGACGTGTGTTGAGCCGGCTCCAATATTGGAGTTTCATGGGAATTTGGATTTCACAAGCGGTCCCCAACCCGCATGTATAGCACATGAGATTTGATTATAGTGGTGAAGGTTTCGTGCAGGACCATCCACACTTTTTCAAGGGCAGATTACAGAGACCTGGTGCACTACGTGCCACAAGGTCCCCAAACGACCCTCCGCAGGTTTTGAATTCAGAGTTTTTCCTTCTCCTAGACCAGTTGCCATCCAAGGCTATAGAACCCAGTCTGTCCTGCTATTTACCCATAGCTGGAGGGAGAAGAAGAGGATTCACACCTTTTCCAAGAGTATTAGAACGGAAGTGAATGTAATGGATTCGACTGGAATTCGAACTCGGATCCATTACATTCACTGTCAAACTCTCTGCTCAAGGAACACGGACGAGGCTTTGCTGAAGGGCAAAGTTTCGTCCGGGGTGGTAGACAGTCCCGGACCCGTTTATGCGGGTTCTACGGGAATATTTTTGGCCGAACCTACAGGCACCGAGAATCCACGGTAAACTTGGCCTTGTGCCACATACATCCCATCGTGGCATGGTTTATCGCATCGTTTCAACACAATACAAAGCAATGAAGCAAATGTATATTATCTCAAAGACATCATAAAAAGGGAGAATATTGCTGAAATTCTCTTATCAAAAATGAAAGAAATTGGGATCTGCAAATGATAAAACGATGTGATACACCTAGTGAGTCATTACCCCCGCGCGCTGAAGATCGTCTCTCCACCAGAGCAAGGTAGCTGCTGGCACAGAGAGCAAGAATACACAAGTAGAGCAATAACAGAGCATATATTTCGGTTGGACTATCCCAGAATATTGCCAGAACATTTACCAAACACAAGAATTCCTTGAGGCAGTAAACATCGACTTGAAATAGCAGCAAACATTTCGATAATCTTGTTTATTAAATACTTCCCGCTGTTCCGTATTACGTGTATTCTTTGTTTATGGAATGTGTCCCCGGTCTTGTTATAGCTGTGATTTCACCACATAGACGGACAGGAATTTATTTCTGCTTTTCTAGTGTTTCCAACTGTTAGAACGGTAACCCTGCAGACTCCATGACGCCAAAATGCTGAGCAGATACAAGGCATTGATTAATATTAACAAATTCTTCCTTATTTCTTCTTCTTCTTTATATATATATATATATACATATATATATATATATATATATATATATATATACTTTTTCTATATTTTCATTTTTATCACCATATTAATTATCTTATAATTGTCCACTATATATATATATATATATATATATATATATATATATATATATATATATATATATATTATTACACTTGTGGCATATTGTCCCCACTACGTTGTACTAACGCAGGGGCAGCAATTTGCTGTAAGTCTTTTTTATTATGTTTTCAAGCAAAACAGAAAATGCTCGCACAGCAATGGCGTAGTTCGTTTGGCAGTTCCTTTTTCCCTCTCCTCTTTTGTCCCTTCCTTTTCCCCCCCTTTTGTCTTTCCGTCCTTTTTATCGCCTCCTTCACTTTATTTCTTTTTATCCCTTCTTTGTATTTCCTTCCATTTCCGCCGCTTTGTCTTACCTTTCCCTTTTCACCCCCTTCTTTAATGGTGCTTTCACTCCGCTGTAAAAATGTTTCGAGAATAATAGACTGTCTGATTTTACATGTATTACGTCGTGGCGGCCATGTCACATCGAAACACCGCTTCCCGTACGATCACTGAAATTAAACAACGTCGATCCCGGTCAGTACCCTAGATGGGTGACCGTTTGGGAATGTTTGAATGTGCGGGTGGTGTAATAGACAATACTTTGGAGTAGTTAATCGGGAAGTCGAGTTCCAATTCCAACTGGTTTCGTTATTTTCTTTACGCGCAAATAAGTTTGGGAAACAGATGAATCTACTTCTTCTCCCCCACCTATGGGCTAATTGCTAAAGCGTTTTATCACAAAATCATTATCTCTCAAAAGAAAAGATTATTACGACCTAAAAATATTTATCTTTTTTAAGTAACCTGCAATGTGTTGGTAATCCGTAGAGACCAAATCAATGAATTAATTGTAGACTCTGAGAATAAGCAGACTCCGCCATTAAATTTCGGAAAGTCAACTTTTTATTCAAGAGTAATGAGAAATATTTATCTTTCCGCTCGTAACTTTTAATAGGAAATATGCAATAAGTTGAGGTTTTGTAAGGGTAATTATTTTATATTATATTATTATATTATTATATTTGTAAGGGCAATTATTTTATAATGTAATTCCGTAATTTGTCAGCCAAGGAAGACTAAGAAAATATGTGTTCATATCATAAATGGTGATATCTATAATATTCGCTATTTCCACTTTGCGAACTTACTGGTCAGGTTACCAGATTTTTCCTTACGAATGCCAACCAAGACGGGAATTCATATGCTCGATTTTTCAAGAATAAAGATCATTCCTATTTGAATGATTCTTGTAAGGCGTTCTGCTCTTACTCTCTTACACACTCGATCTGTGTGTGTCAGTAGGTGAGTATATATATATACATATATATATATATATATATATATATATATATATCACCTACTGACACACACATATATATGGACATATATATTTATATATATATATATATATATATATATGTATATATGTATATTTATATTTATATATATATATGTAGAGGTATATATATTTATATATATGTATAAGCATATATGTATATATATATATATATATATATATATATATGTATATACATATCTATATATATATATATATATATAAGTATATGTATATACATGTATATGTATATATATATGTGTATATATGTATATATGCATATATATATATATATGTGTATATATATATATATATATATATATATATATATATATATATATATATATAAATTTACAACTTTATTTGTATTTACAATAGAAATAATCTGTAAAAAATGTTATAAAGTTTAATTTACCTAGTTTTAAGTATAGCTAACATATCTAATTTGCTTTCAGGCATTTCTGTAAATCAGTTGGCAAATATTTTCCTTAAACTGCAAAATCGTATTACCCTCTGTATTGCTAATGATGGAGGACATGTGGAAACTTAAATTACATTTCAATAAAAACTTAAAAAATATAGATTTACTTCTTTCCAATCCATTTAACAAATTATTTCTATCGCAAATACAATTAAAGTTATAAATTTTCTAAAGGGCTTACTAACTTTATGGACACCCTGTATTAACAAACTATTACGTATTTATACGTATCCAAATTAACGCCGTGCTTGTGAAGTCCATGTAATATAGAAGAATCGTGTTGTTTTTATTTTAGCAAAATTTTCTTTTAACAAAATTTAAATAAAAATGTAATCCCCCTTCATGTCCAATATAAAATAATAATCCCAACATTAAATAAAATTAATATATTTTTCTTATAGTTTAATCTCTCATCTATTTCAATATAAATATATATATATATATATATATATATATATATATATATATATATAATCCTATTTATTTTAAATATAAAACAATTATATTAATCTAATTTAAATAAAAAAAATTAAAAACCCATCTATTTTAAATGCAATATATATCCCCATATAATATACGGACTGCACCAGCATTGCATTAACCAGATATTTTTATTAAAATTTTAAGTATATATCGGTCGGTTTCTACATATCACCTGAAGATTCCGTTCTACTCCGAGTCGTGCTGTCGGTGAGGAACAGCATACACACGCGCGCACATGCACACACACGCACACGTGTGTGCGTGTGTGTGCGTGTGTGTGTGTGTCTGTCTGTCTGTATATTCAGGTAGCATCCGACGTGAATCAAAATATGTTTCTTTGTTTTCTTTTTTTTTTACATGTTTTATTGATAACGGATACAAACTTGTGGAGCGTGCACTCGCAACGCTAAGGTTGAATTTTTTCTTTAATTTAATTCAATGCGTTTTTTTTTTTTTTTTTACTAATATGTCAATTTAATATTTTTGTTGTTGTAGGACTTTATCAGTCATCGTGGTCCGAACTAAACAATTCAATAAGTAATGTCTTAGTTGTTATCCCGAAAATCTCCACGTCGTATCAGTTCTTTTTAAATCAAATATGTGGTGCAGTTCAGTTTATATTACAATGAATCATTCATACAAAAAGTAAATTATTAAATTTGATTTGATTTAGTAAAAAACGCACTCACTTTAATTTTCAAAAAAATTCAATCTTAGTGTTTCGGCTGCACGCTCCACAAGTTTGTATCAAGTATCAATAACACATTTCATATATATATATATATATATATATATATATATATATATATATATATATATATATATATATATATATATATTTGGGAGAGAGACAAAGAAATAGACAGAGCCAATATCAAACATTATTAAAGGGAATCATCTGGAAGCTTGCTTGCTTTGATTCCGAGCGATATGCGAATCGATCTGGTGATTAAAAAAGAATGAATATGTTTACTGAATAATAGGTCTATAGTTAGATATGAACTGATTGTAAAAGATAAATATGAGCATATTGGGATAGATAGATAGATAGATAGATAGATAGATAGATATATATATATATATATATATATATATATATATATATATAGATTTTAACAAATTTAGATACATCAATAGATAGGCATAAACAAACTGAGAGATATGAACAGCCTGGAATAGTTTACGCTATTTACATTGTTCCGACTGTTGTCCTCATCTTTGCTGCCATATTCACGACGTTTCAACCCTTGTAGACTCCGGCCTTCTTCAGGTGTTTGTAATTTTGAACTGAACCCTTTATTTAGTCCACTAGGGTAGATTTTTCTAGTTTCTACGTGTCATCCCGCGACCGGATGTCTCAGCTATCTCCGTTTAACTCACCCCTTCATGTTTTTGTCCACTCTTTGGGTCGTCAGTCAAAGGCACATGGTACAGTGGATAAAAGCGTTGGTTTGATTCAGTGACTTAACCCAAAGTGTTGTGATTTCAATCCTTGGTTATTGCAGTGCTGAACAAAAACTTGAATTAGAATTAGAACAACCTAGTACCGTTGACTAAATAAATGGTTCGGTTCAAAATTCCAACGTATATCACCTGAAGACGGTCGTAGCGTACAACGGCCGAAATGTCGTGAATATGGCAATAAAGATGAATGCAACAGTCCAAACGATGTAAATAGTTACAATACCTCATTTCGGAAATATAGAAAAATACGCAATGAAAAGTTAAACGGGCATAGATTTTCCGTCTCAAAAAATGATCATTATTTAATTATGTTGGTTTTACCTATATTCTAATATTACTTTGTGACACAGGTTTGGGGATTTAAATAACTGTATAAGCTATGAGCACAGACTGATAACTGCTTGGCTGTCTTGTGAGTGTTTGCGTTATCCAGCATGTTTTATTTTAAATTTGTTATACTCAAAGCATTTGCTCTGGGGATCCTTCCTCCAAAAGAACCTCCCTAAAAAATTAGTAGAATGGAAAATAATATAGACCAGTGTCATCCAGAAACTCTGTTTAAAACAAATCATATCGAAGCACTTAGGGAAACGTCTAGTGTAAGCAGAAAATCGATAAAGAGATTTGACAACCGAATGCCCATCCCTTTTTTTAATTTTCGTTTGCGTTTCTCGACTGCAAATCATTGAAGAACCACTTAACACGGAGTTAGTTCCATTCAAAGCCTTTTATATGCTTTCTCGTTCTCTTTTTTTTTTTTTATCTTTTAAACATCAATGCACAAAAGGGCTATTAAAGACCAACCCTAAATTTTCCGTCTTTCCATACGACCAAGTAGAAAACAATGTTGTTACGATGACCTTTCTTTCAAAGATGTTGACGCGAAAATGGACGGAGAGAAAGAAGGCCGATTTGAACAGCTTGGGGAAAAAAAATAAAATAATTCCGACAAAAGGTCAGTAAAGACGAATGTTGACAGAAGGTCACGGGAAGCGCATTGTTTTTTTTTCTCTTCTTTTATTTTAAGCAGACAACCACAAAACTACACGATCATGATTCAGCCGAGGAGATGGCGAGTGTTAATTAGATGACGACGCGTTGAGTGGCCTCCAATGCCAGGCAATTAAGAAGTCAGGACCTCCTTTCTTTCCCAGAATTCAAAGCAGGAAAGAAAAGCAAATAAAGTAAAAGATGCATATCACTGTAATCTGATCGATATCAAATTAAAATATCGTCTTGAAGTCTAAGCTGTTACTATTTCTTTGCCAGATGAACTTCAATAATATTTCAGCATTGACTCTTATTCACCTAGCCTTTTTTTCAACTAGGCAATTCGAAAGCAGGCGATTTCAACAAAGTGGCTCATGGCCATATCATGTTAAAATACACACCAGTTCTCATACAATCATCGAAGTTAAGGAACGTCGAGCCTGGTCAGTATCTAGATGAGTGACCGCTGGGAAATAGCAGGTGCTATCGGCTTCGATGTGAAGATATAACGGTTGAGATTTGGAAATCGGAGAGCCGAGTTCTGATTCCTGTCGGGTCTGTTGTATTCCCTTATGCACAAATAACATTGGGAAGGGTATAGATTAATCTCTGCCCCCATCTATGGTTTAATTAGAAGGACTCGTATCAGTAAATCCTTATTATCTCAAAGAGATTCTTATAATCTAAAAATATTTTCTGGCTTTAAATAAATTGCAAAATCTAAAAAACAAATCAATTAATGAATAAAATTCTCTTAGAACAAATATTTCTTAATGATACAAACCTTCGATTATTTCCTGACATAGATTACATAATAC